ACAATTGTAGGATCTTATACCCCGAGGTACCTATCTTCTGTGTGATTGTAAGGCTATGTCTATGTAACAGCAGACAATTGGCCTCTCTTTGGACCTCAGTTTTGTAATCTTTACATTGAGGAGGCTGGAATAAATGTACTCTGAAGTCCCTCCTAGATCAAAATCTGTGATTCTATAATTAGTCCAATCAATGGAGATATCTGTCATTTGTTTTTGTCTGCCCCTGTGATTTCAAAAATAGAGGGAACTCTCAGTGTGGAAATGCTGCTCCGAACGCAGATCAGCAAGTCTTCTAGAATTTATAGTCATAGAGAATTGCCCAGGACACTGAAAGGGTAAGTGACTAACTCATGGTCACAATATGAGAATGTTTCAGAAACAGAGGCTTGAATCTGGACTTAACTGAGTCAAAAGCTGTAGCATAAATAACTAGACCATGTTGCCTCTCAATATGCTTGACATTTTGTAGACAAAATGATTGGTAAGTTGAAAGAGAAAAATTCAACAACATAATTGTTTGACCACCTCAGACAAAGCCTGAGATGTGTTCAATGCAGTTTTGATGTTAATTTTAAAAAATGGAAGATGATGTGAAATTATAAATAATGAAAGGTAAAAGATCATTTTAAATAACAGAAAAGAAATGCACATTTTTCTCCTGGGATTAAAATTAAATACAAACTTCCTATTGCCTAAATTTGCATTCCTTATTTTTATAATTTGGGTGCTCTAAAAATAACCATCATTTTTACAGACTTGTCTTTAAGTAAAATTTGGTGAAAAATAAATGCTTTTGTCTATGCTATCCATAGTAAGTATATGATAATTATGACAAACCTCACTGCTTCATTACACTAGAAGATGATTAAAAGCAAAGCAAAAGAACTCTGAGGGCTTTCTGTGGAAATTGGAAGTATATTACTGAGACTAATTGGTTCATTATAATTAGTTGTCTAGACTGATCTCCTAGTGTGGACTAAGATCACAACTGAGTAGAAAATAATCTTTGATATTTTTTTTTGATAGAACAATATTGTAGGAGCTAGCTATGTAATAGAATTTTCTGGATAATGCTTGACACAAAATTTAAGGTTGAGAGGGTTTTTTTATGCCCAGCTTTATTTTAATGGACAACTCAGTCACACACAAGGATTTTCAATTTAGAAAATGTTGGAGATGTAGTTTTAATTTTACTGTACCATAGTGTAGAGTGGAAAGAAAAATCGATTTGAAGTCAGAAGACCTAGCTCTGCTGCTTCCTACCTGTGTGACCCTAAGGAAATTCCTTATGTTCTCTAGCCTTCAGTTTCCGCTCCTGTACTCTGAAAGTCATGGACTGCATGACCTCTCAGATCTCAATCCTGTGTCACTGTATCATATTTAATTCTTAAAATGACTCTACAGAAATGAAGATAACTTTAAAATCTTATCTTTTCCCCTTTTTGGAAGCAGGTTCCCCTATTTCTTCAACAGCGGTAAAGAACACTGAATTAGGAGGTTAAATAACAGAATTTAAGTCAAGTTCCAACTCTGCTGCTAGATACGTGATATTAGCTTGCCATATGCAATTCTTATCGATGTTTTCTCCTAGTCCTCTGTAGCAGATCTATCCTTATCCTTTCCTCTAGTTCTTTTAATATCTCAGTAGTACTTCCATGTTATAGTTAACATTGTGTTCTTAATAAGTAATTATTAAGAGCTGATACTTGGTTATTAAACACCCACATACACAACTGACACATCCCCAGGTATCCTTTACTTTTTAAATCCATGAAAATAGATAGGCTGCCTGACTTCTGAGAACATACAATATTTGCTAAGTAATTGTTTATGGCAGTTCTGTGGATAAGTAGGAACCTAACTAGCTCTCTTCTCCATCACAAATATTGTCAAACCAGGAAAAATTTATGTCCACTTAAGAAAAATAAATCTAAAAATACTTAACATTATTTCTCTCTTAGTTGCTTTTTTGTGATTAAAAATAGTTCATACCTGATTTTAGATTTTCCTCTGTTTTTTACTTTATACATTTCTTGAAGCCAGCAACCCAGCTAATGTGGCCTTCTTTAAGAACTAAATTTTCAAAATTATCTGCTAACTGAAAACTAAACTTAATATTTGTGTATGACTGTAGTACTCTTTGTATAGCGAGAATTGTTTGAGCACATTTCATATCCAGTATCTTGGTGTGGTTAGGGATGAAAAGCACTGAAAGATATGGCCCTTGCTCTTTAGTGGAAGTGATGTCAGAGCACATACGCATGGCACAACTAGAGAATAGGCACTCCCTAAGGATTAAAGTGCTATATGAATGCCAGCTCTTATTGTAAGTGTGTGCTAATGTACTTTACAATATTTTTACTTTTTACAAAACACAATATGTAGAGAAGTGATCAGCATGGGACCCAGTAAATTACAGAAAGCTTCCCAAAGAGATAAATTTTTAGCCATATCTTGAAGGAAAAATGTATAGAATTAACGTAGAGAAGGAAGTTGGGTGTTGAAGCAAGAGAACAGCATGAGTAAAGTTGGCCAAGTGGGGACAAAGATGAGTACAGAGGAGAGGAAAGAGACTGAACTAGATAGAACAGAGAGAGACCATGCGGAGTAGAAACAAAAAATAAAGCTGGATTCACATAGGAATGGCAGTGGAAAAAAAGGAGAACATTTAGAAATATTAACCTATAAGCAAAAGGGTCTCATGGAAATGGATATTTGATTATAAGCTTCTTAATGGCAGGGACTATGTCTAATTACACTTTGTAATACCCTCGTTGATTAACACAAGGCCTTGTGCATAGATGCTTAATCTGTATTGGTTCTATTAAATTTAACAAATAAGACCATTGTGTAAAAAAATAGTTTGAAGTAGGGAGAGATATGAGTCCCAAAAACTTATTCAGGGGGGCAGCTAGGTGGTGCAGTGGATAGAGCACTGGCTCTGGATTCAGGAGGACCTGAACCCGGCCTCAGACACATAATACTTACTATTGTGACCCTGGGCGAGTCACTTAACCCCATTGCCTACCCCCCACCCAAAAAAAAATTCAGTGGAAATAAATGGGTTCATAAAATTGAGTTCAAATCTCAACTCTGCCTTTTATTAGGTGTGTCACCTTGGGCAAGTAATTTATCCTCTCTGAATCTCAGTTTTGTTGTCTAGAGAAGGGGGATAATATTTGCCTTGACTAGTTCACAGTTCTTTTTAAAGATCAAATTATATAATGTATGTAAAACACTTTGTAACTACAAATTTTACTTTGCTAATAACATTGATATAATTTACAGAAACTGGAAGCCACGTATGTAAAAAAGAAGGTCTTACTGAAAGCAACATAGTTTAATAAAAAAGAATAGTGTCCTGGGACTCAGGAGACATGTAGTCTAGCTTCTGCTCTGCTGTTGGTTTTCTTTGTGACCTTTAACATGTCCCTGAACCCCTCTGGGCCTCAAGCCCTTCTTCTTAAATGCTGTCATGGAAATAATAAAACCAAGATATTTAAAAGGTTTCTTGTAAAGATCAAATAAGAAAATAGATGCAAAAATGCTTTGAAAATTATAAAAGGCAGATGTAAGTTATTATTACTACAAACAATATATGCTGCTCTTCATTGAAGTTCTGGGAAACATCAAAGTAATTGGACAAAAAGTGAAAAAAATAAGACTATACATACATACATACATATACATACATATATAATACTTTGTTTACATTCAGAAGCTTCCATCATGGAATTAGAATGGTCTAATTTTCAAAAATTAGAATTATGTCATACTTAAAATAACACGCTATCATATGACCCACTGTAGGACTATGCTTCTCTAAAGTTCAAACACTTAGGAGAAAAGAATTTGTGTTTGATTCTGTTTGATATTTCAAAAATGTCTCTGTGGCATGGACTCCAGTCTTATGTTTGAGATTCTAATATACAGTGGCTGATCCATTAAAAATGAAGGAAGAAAAAAAAAACCAAAACTAGATTTCAACACCTAGAATATCAACTATGAAGTTACCACCTTTTTTTCCCTTAATGCCAGTGGTTTAAGAATACCCAAACCAAGATACTTTGTTTTTCATGTTGAAAATCAATCTCAATTTCTATTCATCAAATTATTAGATATATATATGCATATATGTATATTTGTATGTGTATATATGCATATATACATAGATATACACATATATGCGCACACACAAACACGCATGCACGCACACACACACACACACACACACACACACATATATATATATGTATACACACACACTCTATATGTGTGTATACACATACATACCCCATATATATGTATATATTCTCCAAGTGGTAGAAATATGAGGGGGCTAGTTGTGACCCATTTCCATCGTGGTTTGGTGTTTTTGTAATTTTATTAAGAAAAAAAATTACTGTAGAGTTTTTTAACCTCAATTTGTTAGAAATCAAATGTTTATTATTTAAAATTAAATACAAAAAAAGACTTTCTGGCTTTATGTGTATTTAAAATGCAGTGGAATAAAAAACCTGGCGAGTCATAAACTATTTTTACAAAGCATCTGCCCAAATCATACATATACTATATATCCATATACATATTATATACATAACTAGGCACTTGTTTTAATTCCGTTGAGCAAATATTTATTGGACACCTGTTATATTCAAAGCACTGTCCTAGGGTTTTGGGGTTTTTTTTATTGTTTTGTTTTGTTTTTGAGTGGGGAGGGCAGGGTGGCCAGTGTAGAGAATAAAGACTTGAGCTTTGCCCACAAAATACACAGTTTTAGGGACAAGATGAAATTTTCAATGGGCCACCTCATTTTGTTGAGCCATTTTAAATATTGTATGATGCTTATGTAAAAGAGTAGCCCCATTCCACCATCAGGCTAAAATAAAAAAAAAATCTTCCTCAGTTGTCAAGTTTACTAATTTACAACATTATACTTGGATTATTTCTTGACATTACAGGTTTATACTTCTAATGATTTTTCCAATTTTCTTCCATAGAGGTCCTTCTGTAGTGCTATGGTAGAAGAACTGAGGATGTCTCTGAAGTGTCAGCGCCGGTTAAAACACAAACCCCAGGCCCCTGTTATTGTGAAAACAGAAGAAGTTATCAACATGCACACATTTAACGACAGAAGGTTGCCAGGGAAAGAAACCATGGCATAAAGCTGGGAGACCCAAATGCCCAAGCACAAACTGTCGTCTTTTTTTTTTTCCAAACAACTTTAGCGAGAATGTTTCCTGTGGAAATATGCAACCTGTGCAAAATAAAATGAGTTACCTCATGCCGCTGTGTCTATGAACTCAAGACTCTTATGATCTAAGCAGTTGCAATGGTCAGACTCGATTCACAAGCACCATGGATCAACTAAGTTCTGCGGGGTTACACTGTTTATCATGGGTTCCACCATTCTTCTGAATGAATGTGATATACGAGGTTTGTGGCTGGTTTCAAATGCAGTCCAGTGAGATCACAGGTTCCCTTGGACGTTCAGCTGTGGCCAGGTGATGGAGTATCTATGCTCAGTGGGGCAGTCATTCAAGGAGTCATTAAACAAAAAAGACTTGAAATCAGCAAAAACTGTAGTGTAACAAGATACAATATGTTCTTCTGAACTTTCAGATATAGAGGTGGTGAGGTTACTGGCCCCCAACTGCACAGTATAATAATCATCTGAATAGACAATATGTGTTTATTGGATGTGAAAAAAATATTGTAACACAAAGCAAATCTGAATTTCATAAAAAGAGGAATATAAAGTGGACTTGTGTCTGCTTTGTGGACTGTCTGTGTCACTGACTGAAATAAAAATGTCCGTAACCAAGGCAATAATGATTTTCTTAAATTCACCAAGCCAGGAAATGTAATGTGAGACACCCCTTCCCCGGTAAAATGAAAAAAAAAAGTGAAAGCCAACAATCAAACAGTTGACCTAGTTTTCCTGACTTAAAAAGGATGTATTTTGTAACCTTTCACTATTAAAGTGATCTTGTTTTAAATTGTGGCAAGGGGAAGTAGGGGTGGGGATTTGGTGGTCACATGGACTATTGAAGGCTCACATTTTAGCATCTCGTGGTTTTCAGACCTTTGTTCCTGCTGCAAATTGAACTCAATGGAGCCTGTGCAGTTCTCAACAATAGTGGAAATGAGATTAATCACCTACAAGAAGTGAGCGGGAGAACTTTGATGTGGACTGCATTTATCAATACAGTCACAGTGTTAAAATGAACAAAATTCTTGAGCAGTTTTTTTTTCCAAAAAAAGTTCAGGTTTATTTGTGGAAATGCAAGATTTCTATGAAAATAGTTTTTGTATGGAAATTTTTGTAATACTTTTTATCAACAAAAAAAAAAACACGCGTTACCGTCAGGGGTGTGATGTCAAGCATGAATGGTAGTGCGTGTGCACCACCAACGTTTGGTGAAAACTATTTTTATCAAGAAAAGGAATCATAGAAGAGAAATATTTTCAAGTTAGATAATATAAAAGCTAGGTGCACTACCAACACTGCTTACCATGCTACACCCCTGGTTTCCACTAGGCTGATGACATACTGTAATGACCAATTGTGTGTAAATGGTAAAAGACACAGACCTCTTGACCACATTGTGATAACAGTTGAGTGCACACAGTTTGCTGTTTGAATCCAATGCACAAAATTAAAACAAAATCATTAAAATTATGTCCATTTTACTTTTAGTTTGGGCTCTCTGTTTTTCTGAGAATGCAAGAGAATTAGAAGCTCCCCTACACTTGATTAGAAGAGAGAATCAGAACAGTCTGTGTGTTGCTGGGAATGCAGCTACTAGGAGACAGGGAAAGATGAATTTTATCCAACTGGAAATTAATGACCAGATGGAGGAAGTATACCTACTGGCAGGCACAAACCCCTCATTGTTTCCTTTGGTATCGATTAATAGCATTGTAGATCCAGATTTTTACAGCTGGAAGAGACCTTATAGGTCATCCAGCCTAATGTCTCTCCTATTTACAATCGAAAAAAGTAATAGAGAGATGAAGTGACTTGTACATGTTTAGTCAGTAGCCTCTTAGGGAATAGAACTCACATTTCTATTTCCTGAAAATGCTATTTCCTGAGATCATTAGGCTGCTGTGCCAAGTGATTTGTGGTGGTCTTCTATCCTTTGTTTGAGATTGCACTTCTCTCCACATTTAGATGCCTATTTGCAACAGGATGATGGTCTAACCTCAGCATGGAAAGGAAGAATTAAGCTCAGTTTTCAGATTTGGTGAGAATATTCATTTACTACTACCATCCTAATTCAGTTTGGTTTCTAATAGTTTCCAAAATATAATTTTTAAAACATAACTTATTGCCTTTCTCAGAAAATATTTTATTCTTCTTCCTCTAACCCATCATTCTCTCACAAACGTAGAACAACTGAAGACCTGAAAGTTCCAGAATCAATTTCTCCTTCTTTAAAGTATAATGCTTGTCAGACTGCAAGTTCCTTGAGAATATGGAACAAGTCCTTAAAGTTTATATATTCTCCAGTGCCAAGCACAGTTCCATGTATTCTATTCCTTGATAAATGAAAGGGGAAAGGTAGAAAGATAGATAGATGAATATATATATATATATATATATATATGTGTGTGTGTGTGTGTGTGTGTGTGTGTATATATATATACACACACACACACATATAGATAGATGGATATATATCTGTATAGGTGATTGGATAGATGGATGGATCTATATAAATAGATGTAAATCCATCCATCTATCTATATATATGAATGTATCCATATGTAATATATATGAATGTATATTCGTATATAGATAGCTCTAGATGGATAAATGGACATGTATCCATGGATGGATTTATATAGATAGATGGATACCATCTATCTATCTATTAATATAGATTCATTCATCTTTATGTGTCCTTTTATGTGTCTATATCTATAGAGAAACATATAGAGAGATGGATAATAGATTGACAGATCACATTTGTATATTGACATAGATATCACACAAACTGCTGTAAAGCTTTTTATGACCATCATAAGATCATTACTACCAGGTATAAATTTTAACAATCTCCCATTCCTAAACTACATACTAAGAGACATGGATTAGGTTTAAAATAAATGCTACTTTTCACCCTTAAATTATTTGTTAAGGGACAGAAAGTGGTATGGCAGAATGTATATTGCTGTTCTAGGATCTCTAGCAATGAATCAGAGAAATATAGAAATTCTGATTTGGAAGGGACTTAAGAGATCATCTAACCCTCCCCCTACCTGAGCAATAATACGTTTTATAATATTCTTCCAAGGGAGTCAATCTCAAGTTACTGAAAAGCCAGAACTTACCACAGGAGCCTATGCCACTTTAGGATATTCCTAATTGTTAAGAAGTCCCTCTGCCTCAATCTGCCAAAATCTGTGACCCTACAGTTTCTTCAGATTAGTTCCATTTAGGAGTCTGTAAAAATAAAATAATCCCCTTTCCACAGCCCTTCAAAGACTTTAGTACAGTGATCATCCTCCCTCCACCCTAATTCTTATCTCCTCCATGCTAAAGGACCATATTCCCTTGAAAAGCCGACCTTTCATTGGCACAATCACAAATTGTCTCACCATTATTTGTTAGCTGTTTCTTACTGCTTTGTATCAACCACAAATTAGATAAGCATGCCATCTATACCTTCATTCATATTCTTGCTAGAAGTTGGATATATAGTACATGGAAAAGTAAAAGTCCTTGGATTATTCTGTTAGAAATAACTCTACAAATTGCCACTGACCCTTTAAGAGTTAAACTTTAGATCTGATCATTCAACCAGGTTTGAAATCACCCTAGTGTGTTACCATCTAGTCAGCGTCTCTCCATCTTGCTTATAAGAATTTCATGAAGTCTTTGTCAAATATTTTGCCAAAATCTAGGCCAACTATACGATGTTTTCTTTGCATTGCCTAATCTGCTAGTCTAGTAACCAGATAATAAGAAGGAAGGTAGAGTAGTGTGGTAAAATGAAGCCATACTATATCTTTGTAAATGTAGCTTCTGTGTTCTAGATGCTAGCTCACTATTGCTTTAATAACACAGTCTAGAAATTCCTCAATAAACAAAGTCAAACACAATGGCCTGCAGTTTGAAGGCATTGGCTCTGTCCCTCTCTCTGTCTCTCTGTCACTCTGTCTCTCTGTCTCTCTCTCCCTTCCCCCTATCTCCTTCTCCTCCTCCCTTCCATCTCCCCCTCCATTTCTTTCTGTTTCTGTCTCTATCTCTCTCTCATACATAACTCATACAAGTACTATAATTACCTCCATTTTACATATGAGGAAATTGAAGCAAAGAGGTGTTAAATGACTTGCCCAGAGTTACACAATTAGGAGGTGTCTGAGGCTGCATTTGAACCCAGGTTTTCCTGACTCCAAACCTGGTGCTCTATGTACTACACTACCTAGTTGCCATTCTTAGTCACCAAGGCTCCCAATCTAGATCATTCTTGACTCTTCAACCTCCCTCAAGTCACAAATTTAATCAGTATGTATTCTACCATACTATCTCTTGAAACTGTTCCCTTGCTCCCACTCACAAAGCCACCACTCTAGTTCAGGTTATCATTATCTCTTACTTAGACAACTGAAATAGTTACCTAACTTGTCTCTCTTCTTCAAATTCTTTAAACATCCTCCTTTAAAAATCAAACTTTATTTAAAAAATTAGCAAGTAATTAATTTCTCAACTGCCTGCCCAACCCCACACAATTAAAAAAATAATAAGAAAAAGTAAAAGAGAACCTTCATAACTATTGTTTTTAGGCAAGCAAGGCAAATTCCCCCATTGTTCACGTTCTAAAGTATGTTTTATTTTTAATCTTGTGTCCGTCATGCTGTCATTCAGTGGGTAGCATGCTTCATTATCAGCCATCTGCAAGTATGGCTGGTCAATGTATTGGTCAGAATTCTTAAGCCTTTCTTAGTTACTTTTTCTTATAATGTTGTTATTGTGTAGAATGTTCAAAGGTTTCTGCTTAATTCTCTTTGCATCAGCTCATACAAGCATTCCTAGATTTCTTTGAAATAATTGATCTTACTGTTTCATGTTGTGCTATGATATTCTGTTATATAAGTACATAATATAATTTGCTTAGCCATTCCTCATTAAATAGAATAGTTTCTAGTGTTTTTGCTGCTTCAAAAATAGCTGTTACATATATTGTTTTAATTTATCAGTCCTTTTACTCTTTTTTTTTAAATCTCATTAGAATATAGACTTAGTAGTGATAAAACCCTCAGTTAAAGGATTTAG